AGGAATCTACCTCCAGTGAAAATGCTGTGAATATTTTTGAAATGATGACAAAGGGTTTAGAATCCTTAAAATATAGTTGATGAAGCAGAAACAGAGTTTGAGAGGATTGACTCCAATTCTGAAAAAAGTTCTACTGTGGGTCAAAAGCTACCAAACAGCATCCCGTGCTACAGGGAAATGTTTTGTGAAAGGATGAATCAACTGATGGGCAAACTTTACTGGTGTCTTATGTTTAAGAAATTGCCACAGTCACTCAAGTTTTCAGGATGCACTACCCTGAGCAGTCAGCAAAGCAACCATCAACATCAAGGCAAGACTTCCACCAGCAAAAACACTATAACTTGCAGAAGGCTCAGATGATAATTAGTATTTTTTAGCAATGAAGTATTTTTAAATTAAGGTGTATACATTGTTTTTTAGATATATTGCTATTGCACTTAATACTTACACTTAATAGACTATAATAAAGTGTAAAAATACTTTTTTTTTTTGAGTCAGAGTCTCACTGTCACCCAGAGTCTCACTGTGCCACCCCACAGTCTCAACTTGCTGGCCTCAGGTGATTCTTCCACCTCAGTCTTCCAAGTAGCTGGAACCACAGGTGTGCATCACCATGCCTGGCTCATTTTTAAAAATTTATTGTAGAGACTAGGTCTCTCCAAGTTGCCCAGGCTGGTCTCGAACCCCCCTGGGCTCAGGTAATCCTCTCACCTCGGCCTTTCAAAGTGCTGGGATTACAGGCATGAGCCACCGTGCCCATCCAAAAAAACACACTGAAAATTGTTTTTAAAATTGTGTGAATTGCAATTTCTCCAAGGTATACTCACATAGGAACATGCACAGCATATAAAAGATTTGGTACTATCTGTGGTTTCAGATATCCACTGGGGGTCTTGGAATATATGCTCTGAGGATAAGAGGAACTACTGTATTTCCTTCAATGCCTTGAATATGAACTCAAGAACCACTCAGTGAGTGAATGGCAATACTGTAAGGCACTAATAACATGGAATAAAGGAGTAGAGACGTGGAAGAAAGTCACATTACAGACATCACTGTGAGAAGAGGTATGACAGTCAGTTTCCAAGATGGCTCTCATGGTCCTCTCCTTCTGGTAGTCACATCCTTTTAATCTCAACCATAAATAATCAGTCCTGCCCTGTGTGACCAACATAATAACTTCTAAGGCTAGGTCAGGAAAGGCACTGCAGCGGATTCTACACTCTTGGGAAAGCCAGCTGCCAGGCTGAGGTGACACTCAAGCAGTCCCAAAAAGAGGCTCACATGAATAACAACTGATTCACCAGCATTGACTTACCAACTATGTGAGTGGTCGCCCTAGAAGTAGATCCTCTAATCCTGGAACAATCTTCAGATGACTATAAACTCAATCAAAGTCCTTTCAACCTCATGAGAGACACTGAACAAAACCACACAAGTGAGCTACTCTTGAATTGCTTATCCACAGAAATCATGAGAGGTAATAAATGATTATTATTGTGTTAAGTCTTTAATTTGGAGGGACATTTGTTACACAGTGATAGGTAACTAATACAAAAGGTATTAGGAATTACTTCCACAAAGGAAGTAGGGCTTGAAGTAGAAGCATCAAAGGAATCATGGAATACAGGCAAAACAGGGAAGAGAGAATGGGGAAAACCATGAATAAGTTTCAGTCCTTCATAGCATCATGACTTCTCGCCATCTTTTCATTATTTTCTACTTTTTGTCTTTCTCCTATACTTGCTTTTTAGTTAAAGATTTTGAAATGTTTTAGTAGTTATCCTACATATTTCAATATGAATCCTTTATTTATTTCAGTCAACCTGAAATTATTACTTTTATGGCTTAAGAATTATATTTATATTTCATTTAATTATATTTTCATTTATAACTCATTCTTCCTTTTTTGCTTGTTTTCATAATTTGTACTTCTATGAGAGGGGACCCCAAAAAAATGAAATTTATTTATAAACAATTGTGTATTTATTGTTACATGTTTAAACTTCAGTCACCTTTGGTGCAATACACCTATTGAGACACTTTCTTCACTGCTCAAAACAGTTTTTGAACTCATCAGTTTTGATACTTTTTAGTGTTTCTGCTGTTTTTTGTTTCACCTCTTCCACATCAGCAAAATGTTTCCCTTTGAGGTTTTCATCCAGGGGAAAAAAAAGTTGCTCTGGGTAAGATCGGGTGAATAGGGAGGGTGGGACACAGGGGTCCTGCCGTTTTTGTTCAAAAACGGTTGAACATTCAGCACAGTGTGGGCAGATGTGTTGTCATGATAGAAGAACTAGTCACTTATTCGCCACAACTCAGGATGATTCTTCTGCAAATCGTGACACAACCATCTCAAAACTTCCAGATAAAATCTTTGGTTGATCGCTTGATCCAGAGGAACAAATTCCAAGTGTACTACAAGGGACCTGCCCTCCAAAAGATAATTCCAGGGTTTTGAGGTCCACCCCACATAATATTGTAACCCTCTTATGATATTAGCACTGTTTTGTTTCAAATAGTCATTCTTTCCAGCTTTATTAAGGTATATCTGACAAAAATAAAAATTGTATATATTGAAAAAAGTTATAAAGAACCATCTCTACATAGAACCTTAAAATTTCAAGAAATTTCAAGTCTTTCAGTTTAACCACTCATCTAATGCTCTCAACATAATAAAGTAATACAGGGATTACATCCATTTATCTAAGCTGAAATCCTGAAGAGGCTGACTTTCTGTATTTTCCCTCTATGTAGTTATACAAGTGAGGAATATTTAGTCACACCAGGTACCATATTTCTGTGTCTAAACTGAGGTCATTCCTGAAAGCAATTTAAACGAGAAAGTGAAGGAGAAGCAGGAGAAGGAGCAGGAGAAGAAAGAAGAAAAAGGGTACAGTTAGATAGAAGAAATAAGACCCAATGTTTGATAATCAGTAGAAGACTAGAGTTAACATTAATCTATTGTACATTTCAAAAGTTAGAAGTATTTTAAGAATAAAGAGTTTCAAGTGTTCCAAGAATAAAGAGAAGATAAATATTTAGGGTGAGAGATATCCGAATGATCTTGATTTGATTTTTACACATTACATGAAAGTATCAAATTATCACATGTACCTTGAAAATATGTACATCTATTATGTATCAATAAAAAGAAGAGGAAAGGAAGGAGACGCAGAAGAAACAGAAGTAGAAGCAGAAGGAAAAGAAAAAGGAGGAGGAGAAGAGGAGGAGGAGAAAAGAAAGACTAACAACAACAACAGAAGGAGAAAAGGGCAGAGAGACAAAAGAAATTTACTGGTTGAAATGCTATGTGGTGGTCACTATCCTAAGTTCTTTAAACACATCTCATTTTACTCTCACAACAACTCTATATCCTCAAATTATTTTAGTTCTATTTCTTCCCCTCCCCAAGAGGTTTCTGCTCACCTCATACTCCTGATCCAAAGTAGAAAAAAAAATTGACAAAGAAGAATTAAGGCATTATGTACTTAAACTCTTATCAGGTAAAAAAATCTGAGCATATGGTTAAGGCTCTAGCAAGGTTCAGCTAAGAAAGAATCAACTAACAGATTTGGAGCATTCCTTTCACAGAATTTAAGGCTGCATTTCTGGGGCTGCTGATTAGTGAAATTCTATTCTAGGGAAGAATAAATCTGAGATGGAAAATTTTTAAACCCACCACATTCTCTGTCCCAAGATATATGTTTTACTGGTCTCAGAGTTGGTTCTTTTAGAGGTCAGTAGTGGATCGAAGAACCCCACTGGAGGAGGGGTTCCTCCATAAAGCTAATGCCTTACTCAAGAAGTAGATACAGGCATTTGCCTTTAATTAAAGGGAAGCACGAGGAATCCCACTCTGACCTCCAAAAGATGCTGCCATGTAAGCACAGCAATAGACGGAGAAAGAGGAGAAAGAACACTTGGCTCAAAACCAGAGGAGGTCAGGTTAATGACTGCTCCCCAATATGGCACCCCCTTGTGAAGAAGAAGGCCTATGCTCGACTGGGGATAGAGAATATAATTTTTAAAATTTACTCAAGTACCAAAATAGCTGAGTTATTTCTCTAGGAAAACAAAAATAGAAAATTAAAATTTAAAAGTACATATGCCTTTTACTAATTAAAGGCCTATTGAATAACGATTATAACATCTTAATATCTCTAAGGTCAGGAAAACCAGACCTTTAACAAATACCAAACTTATGACATTGCTGATTGGCATGAAAAGGTAACCAACAAGAAAGTCTAGGAATATTTACTAAGAATTCAGAACCTGAAACATGCTGGAAATGGGTTAAGAGAATGCCTAAGAGCTTCTATAGAGAAAAATGGTCATGAAAATTCTTTCTCAGGCTGGGCGTGGTGGCTGAGCCTGTAATCCCAGCACTTTGGGAGGCTGAGGCGAGAGGATTGTCTGACCCGGGGGTTTGAGACCAGCCTGGGCAAGTTGGTAAGACTTCGTCTCTGCTATAAATGACAAAAACTAGCCGGGCGTGATGACATGCGCCTGTAGTTCCAGCTACTTGGAAGGCTGAGGAAGAAGGATCACCCAAACCCAGCAGGCTGAGGCTATGATGGCCATGAACATGCCACTGCACTCCAACCTGGGCAACAAGAGTGAGACTTCAACTCAAAAAAAAAAAAAATTCTCAGAAAAGAGAATACAATCCTTTGAATAACAGACTTACTGCACTGGTGGAAATTATCAACCAGATAAGGCAGCCTGATTTGCAAAAGTGTGCCTTATTGCTCAAGCCACAAGGTCAAAGAAAGTCCCTATCATTCAGTTATATAGCAAGTTCCCCAGGGACAGGATCTAGTGTCGAGAAATGTGTCCCATGCCTCTCTGTACTTTCCCATGGCCTAAACTAAGGCTTCACACACAGTAGGTATCTGGCTAAAGTGAGTACTGACAGTCATAGGGTACACATTCCACACCCTCAAGGAGCAGGATCAAAGGTGCCAAGGTCCCAGGTGCTTCCCCTGCTCTGAGCTTACCGTCATTGAAGCTGTCATTGGTGGTGACGTGGGTGAATGGTGACTGGGCCCGAGGCTCCTCACACAGGGAGTAGCTATGCTCAGCCTGGATGAGAGGTGCTGGTGACGTGGGAGAAGGCTCCACCTCCATCGACACGCTCTTCTCTGAGAGGAAAGGGTCATTCAGGAGCTGACCCAAGACATTCTGGGAAAACTCATCCAGAAGTTCTGAGAAGTGCTACAAGAAGCAAAGCAGGAAGAACTCAAGTTTTTTTTAACCACGATCTGATATTGGCCCACATATTCTAAGGCACATACATCACCCACTGCTTTATATGAAGCCACTGACACACAATGCCCAGTTATCTCAAGTTGTATAGCAAGCCACCCCAACGTTTAATGGCTTCAAGTTACCATAACGCTTTTTTAAATTTCTCACTCCTCCATGGGTTGGCCAGGTGGGTGGGGTTGATTTCAGCTGGGTTCCCTGATACAGCCGCAGTGAGTGGGTTGGCTGGGGCTGTGCTGAGTCGGGACATCTGAACATCTGGGCCTCTGTCTCAAAGAGACTAGATCAGGCTGGGCCTCCTCACAACAATGGCAGACATCTTCTTGGGGGGAGAAGACCTAAGCCAAATGCCTCGAAAGTCACACAGTATCACGCTTTGCACATTTGTTTGTTCAAGGAAGTGTTGAGGCCAGCCTGGATGCACAGGATGCAACAACAGTCTCCACCTCTTGATGAGAAGAATGCCAGAGTCACACTGTAGATGAGTGTGAATAGGGGACAGCATGGTTCACTGGGGGTCATTGCTGTGATAACCTGCCATATTTTGCATTGGTAATATTTTTACATATTAAATACCCTGCATTTCTATAGCATGAGGGTGCAATATATAGCAATGTGCCAGTTCCAAAACATCAGAGGCAGCTTCTCTCTGTCCTCCCCACAACCTACACCTTGTTCCTCTCAGGTTTTTCTTTAATCTCCTCCCATCCTCCATCTCATGAACTCTCCAGTCCCCACCATGCCATGGATGTGATATAGGAAGAGTCAATATACATCTCCTGGGACCCCTATGTCTGTCCCTTGCCACACTTTCCCTTCCAAGGGAGCTGCAGCACCATCCACTCTTCCTCCTTGATTGTAGTATATTCATGATATGAGGGTCTGCAGAAAGGGCTTCTCAACCTTGGCACTACTGACATTCTAGATGGGACAATTCTTTCTGAAGAGTGAGGATGGAATGGGGGGATTGCTCGATGCATTGTAGGATACTGAGCAGCATTCCTGGCCTCTACCCACTAGATGACAGTAGCACACCCTAATTGTGAAACCAAAAATATTTCCAGACACTGCCAAATGCCCCAAGGGAGAAGAAAAGTCATCCCTGGGTTTAGCATCACTGCTATAATTATCTAAGAAATAATAATAATAATAAAACAAAATGTAAAAGTTCACTTTGGCACCAGCTGTTAGAACAACTTCTGTCTCCTTAAAATTTCGAGTCACAAACCAACAGGTGTCAACCTTCTTGATTAAACTTTAGGGACACTTCTGGGATAGAAGGGAAGTTGTGAAGCCGATATTGCAACAAAAGAAGTAATTGCAAATGGTGAGGCTTGGGGTAGGCAATGAAAATTCTTGGAACTCACACGGACAACTAAGTTCCACAACTGAATGAAGCGTCAGTGAAGGGAGTTATGACAGTGAATGCAGGAAGGCAGGAGACGCCCCTAGAGTTGCATCTTTATTTCTTTTTCTCTTTCTTTCAGAAATAAAGGACTGTTGAAGGATCCATCCATTCCCTCATCCCTCTCAAAGTTAACTACTTGCCAGAATCTGGTGTTTATCATGCCCATTCAAGTCTTTATTCCTTGACTACATATGTATGTTTCCATTAAATCCTTTTAAACTTTAAATAGTGTCACACTTTATATGTCCTTCTGCAACTTTCTTTTATAAAAAATATTAGATTTAGTCATGCTTATATATGTTGCTCTATTTCATTGATTTAAATATCTAAATTGCATTCTGTTGTATTTACCATTTTCTCTTGAGGATCATTTGAAGATTTTTTTAATTATATGCGATATTATAACAAATATTCTTTAACATGAAAGGAACTTTTAAAAAGCATGCCAATTGTATGCCCCATCCTCAGAGACTTGAACTTAGTAGGCTAAAGGCATCTATATTAAAATCCCCACCAACCAAAACTCTCTGGTCACTTTAGTTTCTCAAGCACTGGCTCCATTTCCACTCACCACCCCTCTCCCAACTCCACTTTACAGTATGCAGAGTTCCTGGAAGTTCAAACACCCCCAATGTTAGGGGAAGACTCAAGGATTTTGCAACTGCCAAGTGTTAAATTTTAGATAGGCACTGAGGATACATGATAATAAATCAGAAAATGAAAAAGTTCATGCCTTCCTGGAGTTTACCACTTAGGTCAGTGCTTTTCCAACTTTTCTGTGCACATGATTTACCTGAGGATTAAGCCATAGATTCTGATTCACTGGTCTAAATAACCAACCCCCAGGTAATGCCGCTGGTCCACAGCCCACACTCTGGGTAGCAAGGGACAGAACAGAGTCAAGGCAAGATTAGAACCAGCTCTCCTGATCATACTACAACCTGAAGTCAGCATCTAATCCCCTAAGTAGCTCCCCAAGGACATATTTACCGGTTGCCTAATGAAGAATATTCTGCACTGCTTGACAGAGTTCCTTCAAGAGCAAAGTTAAGGTAACAGGAAGAGAGATAAATAACATAGAATGTAAAATGCAAAAGCGAGAGTTAAATGCACAGCTCCTGCATTTGCCAGTCACTCAGTTCTGTTTCTTGAACTACAAAGCCAACCCCAGCAGCAGAGATGGCCTGCTGAAGCTCTGGAAGCCACTCCATTCTGAGACAAGGCTCTCTCCCACTGCCCATGCTGACCCACGGAAGTAGCCTAGATTGGCCCACTCTGCTGACACTGTTTTCTTTCTCCTGAGCAGCACTAATGAATGAATGTTTTCATGAACATCCCCTGCATAGCCAATAATAAGCCTTCTCTAACTCTGCTAACTTTCCCTAGACTCCCCCTACTTTGAATTATATAGTAACTACCATGTTACCAAACAATTTCGCCCTAATGATAGGCAGCTTTGAAGAACTCACAGTTGTTATCAAGCGTATTATCATAACCTCCCCCTCTGGAAAAAGATCCTTCTCAGAGGCCTAGCTGCGCCTAATCACCCACCCACACCAAAGAACGTGGTTAACACAGTAAGTTCAGGGAGATTTTTGCAATTGAAAAGAAATGCCCAACCAATTCCAATCAGATGCTGTGACTCAGTCCAGCACATTAGCTCCAGCTGGTTCTTCTTAGCAGCTGTGGGCTCCGGGGCTCAGCAGACAGGTCAACATTCTGCTGCTGGTATAATGATCATGCCAGAAAGGGCCCATCGTTTACACCACCCAGTTGGAGAAGGGCATTATGGTCCTGGAGGCCAAAAACCAGAGACCCGAACAAAGCTAGCCTTAAAGAAGGAGCCTTTCTGGATCCTGCACACACTTCAGCAAAGTACTACTCGTGAACCCAAGGGTTATGGAATTTTAGTTTGTTTCAAAGACAATGGCATAACATTTTAGAATTGTGTCTAATATTTTAATCAAGCTTTAAAAGTTTACAAAACACTTTATTTTCTTTTTGAGTTGGAGTCTCACTCTGTCCCGGCTGGAGTGCAGTCACATGCTCATGGCCACCCCAGCCTCAACCCACTGGGCTCAGGAGACCCTTCCACCTCAGCCTTCCGAGTAGCCGGAACTACAGGCACACGCTACCACACCCAGCTAGCGTGTGCCCGGTTAATTTTTTAATTTATTGTAGAGATGAGGTCTAGTCAAGTTGCCCAAGCTGTTCTAGAAACTGCGGGCTCATGCAATCCCCTCACCTCCGCCTCCCAAAGTGCTGGGATGACAGGCTTGAGCCACCATGCCCGGTCACAAAGCACTTTAATAGTCTTCTCCTCACTCGGTGTTCACAACAATCCCATGAAGTTGGCTTTAAACTCATCATAGAAGACTCAGTCACCTACTGAAAGATTTTGAACCAGGGTCCTCTTATTTCAAATTGACTGAAATTTTCCCACAGTGTTTCTCCTGAGGAAAAGGTATTTAAGCTTTACAATCCACCTGCACAGAGAGGTTGTAACAAGTGTAAAATCATGGTGATGATGCTCATTAAGGATGATGTTGATGGACTAGGACTAGGAATGTCAGATCGACTTAAGTGCTTGACATGCCAGATTTTCAGAAAATTAGCTGGGTGCTTTCCTATGAGGTAGACATGTCTTGAATTACAAATAAGAAAACTGGGGCTCAGAATATTTAGGTATTTTGTCCAGGGTTGCACAGCTGATGGGAGGTAAAACTGAGAGTCCGTCCCAAGCCCAGCCAGTCCAAATCCCAAGCAGTTTCTAGTACAGCATGCCGCCTCATTTGAGTCATTCGCTAAAGCTAGACAAAAGCAGACTTACAGTCATCCACTACACACAGAGAGTCTTCTGCACTAAGACTGCAGAAACATGCAGAGGTTTATTAGATAGTCTCCTGGTATTACATTCTGTGGGACATCAGCAATAAGGATGGGGATATTCACTTTCCCTTAATGCATGTTTCTTCTGCCAAAGAGTCCAAAGCAACATCACAGAATTTCTGGGTTGGAAGAAACCTCCTGATGGGGTTAAACTCCTTCCTCACGACACAAATACTCTTCAGCCAACTCAGTGAAGACACTTGGCATCCTGTCTCCCTTTATTCTTATATACAACATTTTCATTTCAATCAAATATGACATTGGCAATTCAGCTTTGGAGCCAGGCAACCCCCAATTTGAATCCTGCTTCCTAGCTATATAAGCCTGAGCAAGATACTTCCATCCTCCAAACTTTGATTTCTTCTCCCTATAAAACAAAGCTAACTATAGTACTGGCTTCATGTTGTGAGGACTAAACCAAATAATGTACATAACACACCTAGCACTTCACGGGCACAGCAATCTTTTAAAAAGCTCTTTAGGCCATTGCCTTGCTAAGCTACAGTGTGGTCGTGTGCTCTTTGAGCTATGGCCAGGCCATGTTTCCTGGCTTTGGCCCCCTCTCCTACCCTAGATTAGGAAATATAGTTTATTAAAAAACTAAACTAGAAAGAGAGAGTGAGAGAAAGAGGAGATTCATCTTCCCAGGGTA